AGAAAAAAAATTGCTATACGTTATAACGCAAGTGACATTTTGCTTTAGTTGTTTATTTAATGTATTCTTTATAAATTTAAAAATAGTATTTTAAAATGAAAATTAAACCGAATTTCAAGCCATGAAGAAAATCGAAAGAAGGTATGTGCTGGCTGTGGAGACAAAATTGTTTTTGGTAATCGAAAAATTCAGAGTTTAGGGTTTCTGAGAAAATATAAAAATTACTGCAGACTTTTTCAAACGAACACTTTAACTTAAGTGATTCAAAATTACCTAATTCAATACAATTGCAAAATTTTCAAAATTTAGAAATTTCTAGAGAATTTCGCGGCAGCCAAGAATGTATGTGCTTTATCTGCAAAATGGCAAGATATAAAGGGCATAAAAAATTATTAAGGGAAGAGGACGGACGAACGAACTAAAGTTTTGATATGCTCTTCCTTTCTAGGCCGTGGATATCGCTAGATGTAAGAAGCATGTTTGTACAGAGACTGAAGAATTTAAAAATACTGTTTCCATGTTAAAAACAATTCCATGTAAAACCCAAGAAAAAGTTTTACTGAAAATTTAAGGCAAGCAGTAATCGATTTTGCTTCAAAGAATCTTTAGTTATTTATTAGTTTTGTATAAGGTACCTTAAAACAATAAATAGGATATTGCAAACTGTATTTTACATTATTTTGTATTTATAATGTAATTTATCCATATTTCAGTCATGTATCTGCCAAATTTTTAAAAACATTTGATAATGGTACTAAAGTATTTTATCGAAATGGCATAAACAATTTAAAAATACTAAGAAATATGCAAAACTTTAATTTTTGATAAATACATTTTTGTGTTACCAAAAGCGTCTATAATCAGATTATGCTATCAGTTTTGGTTGGCATTTTTGTTCGTCCTATACTTTAGTTTTGACCACCGTGTTTATAATTTGGGGGTACCACTGCAAAAAGGTAAATGTTGCAACATCACGTACCATTGTAACACTTTTCCATAATTAAAGCACACACTGAATTTCAGTTCACAGATAATTAAATTTGTTGGCTGAATAACATCAGGTCTCCATTGAGAAGTTATTGTCAAAACTACCGGTGCATTGTTTGTTTGTGAATCTCCTTTGATAATTATCTATTTTGATATAAGATACCGACTATTAAGGAACATTTTGTACAACGGAATTATCGAACAATGTATGCAAAAACAATACGTTTTGTTGTTGTTAGAGAGTTTTGGATTGTTATCAAATTTAACCGCGATTATATGGCTGATTTTAACACTTTCTCTGTAGACTAAATACAAGGTGTGTTCAGAAAATATCGGCAATTTTCGTTTTTTGAAACAAATATTTATTTATTCGTCTACATTAATGTTGTCGCCATCAAAATAGTCCCCATTGGATATTATGCACATGTGCCAGCTCTTCTTTCAATACTCGAAACACTTCTAAAACTCGATCTTTGGGATAGCCTTTAGTTCTTTCAGCGATACGCTTTTAATGTCATCTATGCTTGCAAAACGACGGCCCTTTAAGGTTCTCTTTATTTTTGGGAATAGGAAAAAGTCAGACAGAGGCATGTCTGGCGAATATGGAGGCTGGGGCATCATTACAGTATTGCTTTTGGCCAAAAATTTTGTTCAAAATTTAACAATTTTGCTGCAACGCGTTTCATACCCAAAACATTCGAAAAAATTTCAAGGGATGAGCCAATCGATATACCAACACCATCAGCGACTTCTCTGATGGTTTATAACCATTTCTTCCACTTTTTACATGTTTTTATCGGTTGTTAATGTGCTTGTGCGTTCGGGGCGTTCGTCATCTTCAACGTCTTCACGGCCATCTTGGAAACTCTTATACCACTTGTAAACTCTTGTTTTACTTATAGCATGCTAGTCTGCAGACTCACTATAGGCCTTTGTTAACATTTCACAGAATTTATTTCATTTTTTAAGCAAAATTGGATACAAATTCTTTGATCCATTTCTTTTAACGAACGAAAACTCGCCGAGCTCATAAAACACGTCTAACCTTAACGGCTGCCACAGACAAAGTAAACAATGAAAACAGCTAAAGTTTTTATCATACTTCGGGGGCATGTATACCAACATAATAAAGAAAATTTTATGACAACCGGACCCTCTGAACCCGCGAAATTTAACAATTCCTGTTATTTTCTGAACACACCTCGTATACCCTTAATTAGTGTCAGATTTTACAGTTTTTGGTTTGGTTACTTACATATATTCCCATATTAAACAAAAACACACACTCTTTTTAACACTAGCTACCTCATAGAATGGCAATTTCACCCTTTTGCATCTCAATATATAATCTCAACATCCCCATTTTAACGATCATTTCAAGTAAAACCTGTTGGGTAGTGCACTTGGTAGATTAAACAAGTGCATAACAATGCATTTTTTGCGAATATAGCGGTTAAGATGAATACATAACTAGGATGAATAAATAAATTTAGAAAAAAAGTTAAATTTTATTTAAACGCTGGACAAAAGATCCCTCTATTTTTACTTCCAACGGAATGTATTTAAAAAATACCTGTTAAGACATATTGGGGTTATAAAATATGCTTTTTCGTTCAGGTGCATTCAAAGAAGGGTAAACGAACTTTTCCAACAAAATTTACCATTGTCGTTCATTGGGGTGCCCTTAATTTTAATTGGGGTTGAATTTAATTGGTTTTTCACTTCCTGCACCCATGTGTTCATTAAATGTAAGACGATTTTTAAAATTGTATGTTGGGTTGAATGGTTAAATTAATTGAGTTTTTATGTAAGTTATTTTCGTTATTACAATATTAGCTTAAATCAAGAGCAAGCGATTTCTTGGTACAAGAACCAAAAACATTTATTCCGAAGATATTTCTATTTTACTGATATTTTTTATTAGTGGATGCTACTTATCAACAAATCACATATAGCCTTATATAAATAACAATGAAATATATATACGTAAGAAAATAACTACTCACCACAGTACTGAAATTTTGACTGGAACTATACGTGCATTCACCACAACTTCGCCGCTTGCATTGTTTTCAATATGACTGTCGTGCAAAGGGCGGGCTCTGTAGGTAATTTTTTACCAACACTTGAGTTAAAACGAGGACTTGACGTTTAAACTTCAATATTTCGCAGGAATTTTGAATTTTAACATTCGACACAGAACTGACGGGTAAAAGTGAGTACAAAGATTATCATTTTTTTTTAAATTGCAATTATTCGAATCTATGATAAAATATGAAAAATACATTATTTAATGTTTTATAGTTTGTAGTGAAATTGAAAAATTTAAGATGAATTTAATATATTTTAAAATAAAATCACTCAAATATTTGATACAGGAGTTGTGACACGCCAAGGTACTGATATTTTGAATCTTAATTATGTTTTTCTACAAACGTGCTTTTAAAAAAATACATTAAAATTGGGTGGAGAAGTTAAAAAAACCTTGATCTTTTGTAATATACTAAAATATTTACAAAAAATATTAAAATACCTACTCTATTGACTGAGGACATCAAGTTGTCCAACTTTTGTAGAATCACCCATATGTTATAGGGTGTATATAAATAATTCTACAATTTAGCAATAAATAATTCTACAATTTAGCAAACCATCACCCATGAAATAACCATACTTGCTCGCAGCTTTAACAAACAAGCATAAATACTCAACATAGAATTTTTAGCATCCCAAAGCAAACTCGTGTAGAGTGTAGTCACGAGATCGTGTTCAATACAACCAAAAAGACAAAAAGTAAGAAGAAAAAGTGAATTTGATGCGAACTTCAAGTCTAATTCCTGATAGTATTCTAACAAACATCACCTTGGAAAATAATCCTTCAAAAAAATTTACACGATTAATATTAAAAATCTCAACAATTTCCTGAGTTCCGTTTTTTCTTCAGACCCATTCACAGATGGACTTGTTGCGGTTCTTGTTAAGGCGATGTCCATAAATGGACTTACACCTTCTAACAGTCGTCGGACCGTTGTGTAACACAATGAATTCGTACATTTTTATTGGTAGTCTGAAGAGGTTAATAAATATGTTTCTTTGAGTTTTACCTGAAGGTAAAGCTATAAATACGTTATGCAGAAATAACGTTGAACGTGAAAGAGACATCAATGTCTTAAACTTTGTTTGAGTATAAAAATATATTTATCTGCACGCGGTCTATAATTTAAACTTTATTGTTGTCAACATTCGATAGAGAAATACCTTGTTATGGCCTAGGCCGATAAACATATTAATAAGGCAAGTAATTAGTTCGATTTTTTCTCGCTAGGGGTATTGTTTTGACAAACTAATCCTTTTCTAAGAAATTAACGTACTAAACTGGTTTAATTTATTTATAATAAGCACTAATTTGTTTGTTTTACTGTTAATGTTTAATATTTTTCATTAAATTATTGTAACATTAAATATGAATAATAAAACAAAAAGTGAGGTTAGGCAACCAAGAAAACGCACGATTCCTTTTCTACGATTTAAATTATTTTTATTTGCTTTAAGTTTTCAGTGAAATTAAATGTTAAACACAGCTTAAACATTCCAAACTACCTATTTTTTAAATAAAAATCCAAACAAATTGAAATTAGATACCTACCTATTTATTAAACAATTAATTGAATTCAATGTAATAGCAAAAATCCATTTCTACTTAAATCATGTAGCTAGGTATTGTCAAACTATTACTGCTTCTAAAAACAATAATAATTATTGTACATTTAATGTAATCTTTAGCTAATAAATAAATGAGATTCTAAAAAAGTGAGGTTAGGCCGCTTTGATGTTGAATTAAATTGACCTATTTAAAGTGCTTTGAAGATAAAATGTTGTATGCCATTCGGCCAAGAAGTGCCTTTTTGTGCTTCGCTCAATTGTAGGCCTCCGCTACGCTTCGGCCTTCAAACCTTGAGCTTAACACAAAAAGCCTTACTTCTTAACCAAATGACATAAATAACTATTCTTACCAAACTTGGGGATCTCGCGATGCCTAAGGTGGGCGAGGATTCAGCTGTATTAGTTGCTTCGACGTCCAGGGGCGGGCTGTCAGAAAAGGCCGCCAAAGTCGACGATCTACTAATGGGGCGGCGACCTATCCTCGACGAAATGTTGCTCAGAGAGCCCAAGTTCATAGCGGCATCTCAACAAATTTCCAAAACTAAATTCTCGAGAGACGTCTGATGACAGGCAAGAAGAAAAAACATTCTGAAAAAAAAATTCATTGAAAGATGAACACATTAAAAAAATATTTGTCTACAAACGCTGCTTTCAGTAATAGCATTTGCATTAATTATAAAGTAAATTTACGTTATGTTTATAAAAATAACACTCTTCCAGATGCAGAAACGCATTGATAAATATAGTTATTATTATTTGTACAAAAAACAGTTCTATACCGTTTACAAAAACGTTTTGTAGTATTAATGAAACCCTAATGGTATTATTCATATAAATTTTGTAAATTTTACAAATCCCTTTTCGTTTAAAATAAAACTTTTTTATTATATTAATAAAATTCATGTAAATTTAACAACAAATTAATTGTTAATTCAATAAACTATTTTCATTGTAACAGTGGTCACATTTTCAACCTATAGGAATACTGTTGGGTATTGGGTAGTTTTTTTAAATAATTGCAAGGCATTAAAACAAATTATTTATTATAACCAAAAAATTAACTCATACAAGTTTGCTTCGTTTATAGAATGGACCTTAAATGTTTCTTTTAGGAAACGTCGAAATTTTAATTTTCGATATTTTTATCATGCTAAATTTTACCACACTTCACTCGCACAAGTGAAATTAAGATTATAACACAGACTTTGGATTATAAAGTTATGTTCACCAAGGAGAGCGCTGGCCCTTTCCCCCTCTTTTTAAGGGAAATAACAAAAATTTTGTTACCATTGAAAAACAATAGTTAAAATTAAAAAAGTCTTTTTATAGCAATAAAATATATTTGTTATTGTTCTTAACGTAAGCTATTAACAAAGATTTTCTAACTGAAATAAAATTATTTTGAAATACAACAATAGTAATTTAAAAAAGACAAATATGCCATAGTAAAATGAACAAATTTTACTATAACAACTGCGCATCACTTTATGTAAGCGCAATTCACACACAACTATAGATTTAACAAAAACATTTTATGTTCGACAAAGATTTAATATAAACATAAAGTATTTCTTATTGCCATGACAATATTACTTTGTTGGATGAACATTTTTTCATGTTTAAAATCTGATTTTTATAACAGTTTTATAAGATAAGATAAATGAAGCATCAAATGTTTCGAAATAAAAACATTAAGCATATTTTTTTACTATGTAATTTAATTACTTTGCCATAGCAAATTATTTTAAATAGGGATTTTTGTTTTGAAACTTTTGTTGGTAGGTAATATTTCTTAACATTTAATTACAGTGTAGCATCCCGAGATTTCATTTTAATTTCGTTTAGATAAAATTTAACTTAGTTATGTAACAATCGTAAGAGATAACTACTTCTGATTAACAATAATAATTATAATTATAAATCAAGGAAATAAGATTTATTTAATTACTTACGCTGTATAATTTAAATTATTTGCGCGAAAAAGTTAGTGGGTGCGAATTTTTAATCAACAATCTAAGTACTGAATTCATTTTCATTAATTTGAATAATTATTTATTTTGTATAGCTTATAAAGTCTCGAGAGTTTCTATATGTAATACCTAAGAATGCAAATTGTAGGATTCTTTTAACAATGGATTCGTTTTTTATGTCAAGGGTTGTTTACTCAAGGTCACTGTCAAAAAAACTAAAATTATACATTTTAATGTATTATATATTAATTTCTATATAAATATATATTTCGCCAGTATAATTTTAATTTCCAACGTACTATATCTTAGCTGATGGATGCCCATTAATATCAATATAATTTGCCTGATGTACTGCGAAATTCCAACATAATCGACAAAGTTGTTCAGTTATAAACCTAATCATAATCAGTGAAAAAACAAAATAATCATCCTCATACCAATAATAGTATATTAGGTAACAAATATTAGGTGTTATTAAATTAGTATATTCACGAGTGAATAATGCCCATAATCTCGAGTGTAAAACTATACTTTATACACCCCACACGGAAAAAAAGGTATTCTATATTAAAGATTAATCATCCTAGTCCAAGTACGAGGTGTGTTCAGAAAATATCGGGAATTTTCGTTTTTTGAAACAAATATTTATTTATTCGTCTACATTAATGTTGTCGCCTTCAAAATAGTCCCCATTGGATATTATGCACATGTGCCAGCTCTTCTTCCAATACTCGAAACACTTCTAAAACTCGATCTTTAGTTCTTTCAGCGATGCGCTTTTAATGTCATCTATGCTTGCAAAACGACGGCCCTTTAAGGTTCTCTTTATTTTTGGGAATAGGAAAAAGTCAGACAGAGGCATGTCTGGCGAATATGGAGGCTGGGGCATCATTACAGTATTGTTTTTGGCCAAAAATGTTGTTCAAAATTTAACAATTTTAAAACAAATTTTGCTGCCACGCGTTTCATACCCAAAACATTTGAAAAAATTTCATGAGATGAGCCAATCGATATACCAACATCATCAGCGACTTCTCTGATGATTTATAACCATTTCTTCCACTTTTTTCATGTTTTTATCGGTTGTTAATGTGCTTGTGCGTTCGGGGCGTTCGTCATCTTCAACGTCTTCACGGCCATCTTGGAAACTCTTATACCACTTGTAAACTCTTGTTTTACTTATGGCACACTCACTATAGGCCTTTGTTAACATTTCACAGAATTTATTTTATTTTTTAAGCAAAATTGGATACAAATTCTCTTTGATCCATTTCTTTTAACGAACGAAAATGGCCGAGCTCATAAAACACGTCTAACCTTAGCGGGTGCCACAAACAAAGTAAACAATGAAAACATCTAAAGTTTTTATCATACTTCGGGGGCATGAATACCAACATAATAAAGAAAATTGTATGACAACCGGACCCTCCGAAGCCGCGAAATTTAACAATTCCCGTTATTTTCTGAACACACCTCGTATATTGATTGTTAGTCTATTTTTAAGGGATACATTTTGATTTACACTTACACTAAGTATAGTAGGCAACTATTGTCTGATTGACAGTTTCTCTTAAAAAAAAATTAAAAATATTTAAGCATAGACTACTGAAAAAACAAAATTAACTCAAAAAATTTGTAATCCAGTAAAAACTATAAAAAAACAAATTGTATTTTATATCCGTGCATTATGTACAATAATTAGAATATTATTATAATGACTTAAGCAAAAACCATGCAAATAAAAACTTAATTTCCCTAATGGCTCAGAGTCAAATTAGTCACGTGTGCTCCAAAAACAGCAGCGCATCTGCCCGGTCACGGCTTGCTGCCTGCCGGCGACCGTTAAAAAAACAGTTGACAGACGAGAGACGCCGCGGCGAAGTCACTCGATTCTGAAGAGGGGTGGCATTCGAACTCGCCCCATAAATCACGACCGGCAAACAACGATTGTCCCGGAATTGTTACATCAATTTGATTGGGCCGTTTGATTGACAGATATGGGTAGTTCCGATTGTCGATGCAATTTTACGTTCCACGGTTGTCAATTTTTATTGGCGTGCAAAATTTAAGCTCTTTGTGCTCGAGAAGTAAGTCATGAAAAAAAAATTATTTTATGTTGTTTTACTAATGTATTTTGTTATAAAAAGTAATGTGCCTTTTTCCCAAAAAAATCCTTGACAAAGATATTTTAACTATAATAATAATAATAATAATAATAATAATAATATTCATTTATTTAGCAAAATGCTACATGGTTTACAAAAAAAATAAAAGTTATAAATAAACAATAAAAAAATTATAAATAAACAACAAATAAATAACAAATTTAAAATTGGGACATTACATAGTTTCTGAGTTTGACAGATTAAATTTATAGGTTGAGTGATATACTGCCCTACTATGGAGAAAGGCAGTAGCTGCAAAAAAATGCAAAATGAGTTTTCTTGTGCTATGGTAAAGCTATGGACATTTTGTAACCGAATTTAACACAGAAATACAGTCAAATATCTCATAAAATAAAAAAATCAATTAAATACCTACTCCTTTTTATAAAAATGTAGTTTATGCTAATTTTCCACAAATTTCTTGTTTAGCAGTTACTGCCTTTCTCCATAGTAGGGCACTAGATTATTTCTCGAATTAAAGGAAACTATTTGACAATTCATAAAATCTGACCTATGTGTCAAAATTTATAAATATTTTTTTAAAGAAACTTCCATTAATTTAAGGTAGGTATGTAATAAGTAATAATTGATATTTCGAAAACTAGATAACTTATTTTTTATTGTTTTTTAAAAAATGTTTGTTAAAACTTGTAAATAACACCATAAAATCGTAAACAAAAATCCAATATGGAGGCTAAAATTTAATCGCTGTTAAATAGTTCCAGTGATTTAATCGCTTATTTAAACGAAATTTATTAGAAAATTCAAGGCTTTTGATTGGTTCATATTGTAATGAGGGAAATAATCAGTGTTAAATAATATTTTGTAAAATCCGAATAGGTTGTAAAAATTTTTTTTTACAAAGTTGGTACATTCCTTTAAACCAGAAAAAAACTGAAATCTCCTTCAAAATTTATTAGCGATTCTTTTCAAGTAGATGCCTACTTAAAGAGATAGGTATCGCCGCGATAAGGCAATGGTACCAACATACAAACTGGCCGTGTACGCACTGTACAAGTTGGCAACTTCCTAATAAGTACGAGGCAGATTCTTTATACTCATTTACGGATGAAAAACAATCAGGGAAAATACCGGGAGTTTTATGAACGTGTCGAGACAAATTGCTAAGAGTTAAGTAAGAAATGTTGGTTTTATTTTCATGTAAGTAATGCCTTAGACCAAATATACATTTTGAGAAAATTTATTGTATCCCTTCTCTAAAAATGAATTAGTCAAAAATGACTAATTTAATAGTTATTAGTGGCTGCTTTTCCACTTGTACCATGGTTAACCATGAAATACCATGGTATACCAAAATTTAACAGCCAATTTTTATGTAAAATTGTCCCCTGAATCCGAAAATACCGTCAAAAATTATGAAAGAGGAGCAGTTTTTGAAATATAGTCAATTCCATATTAAATGTAAAATTGACTATATCTCAAAAACTGTTCT